GTAAGCAGGAGATCGTGGGTTCGAGTCCTACCCGAGTAAGCTTGTGAGTTTTTTTCGCAAGCTCTCGGACAAGCACTGAGCATACAGTGCTTATTGATATACGTTGGGTAAGGGCAAAACCTGTTATATATAATTAACATCTCCCCAACGCAAAAATACATCTTGAAAAAAAACATTGTCTTCGAAACCTTGAACTATTTTCTCTGTGAAATTCATTAGTGCCATTGAAGTCGAGTAGTTAGATCGAAAGCCATATTGATTATCTAAAATAAGGTTGTATTTGTCTAGAAGTTTGACAGTCCTGTTGTACGCCAGTTTCTCAAGGATTTTCGATAAACTGGATAATACTGAGATTGGACGGTAATTACCAATCTCAGCGGGATCCCCATTTTTAAGTATAGGAGCAACTTTAGCTATTTTTAATTTATCTGTGAATATTCCCTTGGAAAGGAGAAAGAGAGAAAATATGGCAGAGTGGATCACTTATATGGGTTATGACAGATTTGATCAGCCCTGGCTTGATTCCGTCAGTGCCAGGTGACTTCTTGTTGCGAAATTTAGAGAAAAATATCATAAATATCAGTTTTCGGGACAGGAGTAAAAACATACTGAATTTGGGTTGGGGTCAGTAAGATATGCGCCATATATACTCGGTATTAGCATCAGAAATATTTCGATTAAGAGAAGGTCCTACTTGTATGGAATAGTTGCTAAACGCATTAGCAGCAACCGCGGGATTACTCGCATACTGTCCTTCAACCTTGAATTCAGAGGATTTTGGATGTATGTTTTTACCCAATGATGAATTAATTAGTTTCCATGTATTTTTGACATTGTCTTTTATAGCTTCTTCAAACCTTTCTCTGTAAAATTTGGCTTTGCTTGTTTTTATAACAATGTTTAACTCATTACGGAAACATTTGTTAGTATTAAAATTAATGGAAGTTGGGTTTTTGACATATTTTTTACGGTTTATTTTTATGTTTGATTGAGTTTATTGTGCCATCCGTCCATCCATGATTTCAGCTTTTTCCTACCCTTGGTTTCCTGTAACGGCAAGTTACTTTCAAACAATTCCAAGAACTGGGAGTGAAAGTTATCGAAGGCACGCCTGGATCATCCGTGGAGGCAACATCCCAATTTGCATTATCCAGATTAACCTTTCAATTCGGTCTGCAGTGATTTATCTAAACAAGGGTTGATGAGGAACGTGTTTGGAAATGGCCTTATTGCCAAAAGATGATATGAAAGATAGGTAAATGATCGGAAATGCCGTACAGAATACCACTCTCTGTTTTCCCTGCGCTATCATTTGATGTCATATTGTCGATTAAGGTTGCAGTGGTGGGTGTTCAGCGGGTAGGCCTGTGTATCATTGATAAACGGAAATTGCTCAACAACAGATTGACAAAATTTAGGGTTGGATTGTGAGTGCTGTGTTTCAAAAGATCAATATTAAAATCGCCAATAATAAAGGAGATTTTGTTTTCTCTGTTTATATTGGCAAGGATATTATCAAATCCAGAAACAAACTCATTGATATTAAAGCTGGGTGGCTTATAAGTTAAGCCAGCTATAGTATTTCCACCCTTGGTACCGGGGATTTCGATAAACATTGAATCGCATTCAATATTATTTAACGATAGATCATAACGCTCAACAGATGTGAGAATACATTATGGACGTACAAAGCGACTCCACCTCCAGTTTGTGTGGCCTATTTTTCTTCAGGCATGAGTAATCTTTGTTATAAAAGTCAGGACTATGTTATTAAACCAGGTGTCGCTAAACCCAATCACGTCAAATTGGTACCGCTATGGAAGAATATTTATATCATCGTCTATTTGATCAAAGTTCTTTATGAGAATTCTAAAGTTTTGATGAAAACACGAAAAAGAACATTTACCTTTTGTATCTTTGTATTTGTCGGAAAACTGGTCCAATAAAAGGCAATCTGAGTTGTTATATCTCTTAGGATAGTACCCGTACGTAGTTCCTGTCTGGACCCAGGTCACTGTTATTAGTTAAGCTTTCAGTGCAAGCAACGGGATTAGATTTTAAATTTTGGAAACGGTCAACAATGATTTTATCATTGGTTCAAAATTCAAGAATGGCGATTTCAAAGTCGTCCGACAACAGGTGATTCAAGGGTAATATGTGTGGAGAGCAGGTTGTACATTTTCCACAGAACTGACTCCAGACGGGCTCATTGTTTCACAACGTGTTGTACATTGATTCATCATCATCATAGACAACCAGTACAAGAAAGCTGAAATGTAAGCCTGACTTCGGCGAAAAAGGTTTCTATGAAAGGTCATACGTGACTATGTGTGTTTGTATACTACCAGGGACTCCCGTAATGCAAATTGACTACCCATACCTAGTGAGTTGCTGAGCTATCAAAAATAATGAACTTTGACAAAAGCATCCCTTTGTAATTACATGTATATTGTTTGTCCTAACACTTGTGACCAGGCTTGTGACTAGACTTGGGAAAGACTCGACTACAGCCAGTTTATCATCACAGGACCAGTCACAAGTAACGGGAAATAACAAAGGAATACTCTTATTGCAGTTCATTTTGAATAGCTTGTGACTCGAGCTCATGACAATTCCTGGGTACGTCACTGGTCTGAGAGGTTCTTGGATTCGTCCACTTTTCACCCTCCAGGCATGCCGATGCCGCCCCAGGTCTCCCTCTGCCCGTCTTCGCTGCCTGGGTCCGCCATCGGCGTCTTCTCCACAGACTGGATAAAAGAAGGCACGGAAATGGGGCCCTACACGGGACGGATAGTGCGCCCTCACGAGGTACCGACCGACAGGGATAACCAGTTCATGTGGGAGGTTGGTACTCGATGCCTTGTCTATTGATTCGACTTCATCACTTCCAGGGAGGTTTAATACAAACCCCAAAGCAAGGAAAAGCCAACATCCGTCTTTTGGTCCAAGGAAAAATTGCAGTGCACAAAACGTCCTGCTGCATGAAATGCCCCCGGTTTGATATGATTGCGTATAGAGAAAACTGCACAATCACTTTCTTGTCAAGGCCATAAAAAGTGTGATCCCTTGACTGAGCCCAGCTCAATAGGTCAGAATGAATCTCGCACTGTCGTTGCATGAGGGCGCTATGACAGAACACCCACTGTCCGCTCCCGCGCTGCCAGGGGCGCACACGTGTTTACAGCCAAACGCCACTGCAGCTGGGACACTTAGAGTTTAGTTATATATATGTATATACAGAGAAGCAATTGCTTGAGACAGTTACACATTATTGCAGTTTTGATTCATATTTACATTACATGAGTTGAATTGATTCAGTCGAGTGCTCGTTCGTTTGTTGGTTGCTGGCTTGTTTGGATTAATTATTAATTAATGAGGGTATTAATTAGCTGCTTGGTCGTCTTATGTCACATATTCATCGATACTGTGGTACCTCAACAACGGTTAGTATTTGAAATTGTGTTATGATGGACTTCGCTCCTTTTCCTCATGATCCCCGGCAGGTGTTCGATGACCAGGGTCGGGTCAGCCACTTTGTGGATGCCTCGGACGAGACGCTTCAGACCTGGATGTGCTATGTCAACTGCGCCCGCAACGAGCAGGAGCAGAACTTGGAAGTCTTCCAGACCGGCTCCGATATCTACTATCGGGCTGTCAAGGTTGGCAGTTTTGAAAAATACTTGTCAATGAGCCGGTCCGGTGTTTCAAAGCGGTGGAGTTCATTTGAGAATAAAGCACGAGTGCGACTCCTGCGAGTCGGTGTACATGTATGGCTGTGCTGACCTCGCGCGCCCATTGCTGCTCCCGAATGACCTCGAACGCGCTGCATTTCGGGCATGCGCTGTTGGAATACCGAACAAGCTCATTTTATTGGATTTATCCCAATAGTCAAGTTCATTGTTATATGTAAATCTATTGAAGCATGGTCAGCCAGATCTATTTTCTGTGTATTTCGATACACATACATAGTTTAAGATGTGCATATTGAATCACGTGTGCACGATAATAATAGCAAAACACTTTGGCCTGCCTCAAGAACTCGTCAGAGGCAATGCTGATGCGTATTTTTTTAGAACACATTAATTCAGCATCGTCTGCTATTTTACAGACAATTCCACCCGACCAAGAACTCTTCGTCTATTATGGTGCGGCATACGATCTCTTTATGAACAGTATCCCTATGGGGCTAAGCTCCCCTGATCACAAGGGCAACAACGGCAGTGCCAAGATTGGAGGTTCCGGTAAGATTTTCCCACTGTGGCTGATTTCATCAAGTGTGACTTGATGGCGGAGTCGTTTCTATTTTTAATAAATGATGCATCTGTTGCATGCAATTTACGAGCTTTCTCATAATATATGTAATGTTACATGTAAACATTCGACTCCCAAGCCTTTGGTTTGGACGCAAGATCTGCCGATTTTTTAGTTATCTCATTTTCGTCTTTACTTCATTTTTTCCCCCAAATCGTGTCAAAAGATCTGGCCAGCGCCGACCAGCAGTCCAATTCGGCTGGCCGCCTCCACTGTGTGGTGTGTCGTCGGGGGTTCAACTCCCGTAGCAACCTCCGTTCGCACATGCGCATCCACACCCTGGACAAGCCCTTCCTCTGCAAGTTCTGCCACCGTCGCTTCAGCCAGTCATCGACGCTGCGCAACCACGTGCGTCTGCACACAGGTAGAGTGAGATATGTACACGTATACACGTCTATCTGTAGGCCTGCAGGAAGGACACAGGAGTTTGTACTTCCCGGGCTTGAACACCTGGCCAATTACCGCTTTCTGGCGTGCCCGGTATGTCCATAGCCGTAGAGCTGCAACCGCTTGCCGCACACCATCTGTTTCACAACCAAGAAACCCCTTTGTACGCTATGATCACCGCCGCTGGTAATCGGTACCTTAACACTTTATGTACTGGAGAAGTATGAAATTGAATATTCATGCATTTGTTGGTGCTCTGTATGATCTCATAACAACATCAAATTTAATGCTTGCGCTGTTGCTTGTGATAACCCGCGTGTCCTAAATGTGTATGTGCTTTTATTGCCTTTAACGAACGCTTTCTTCTGGAGTTACTTTGGGAATAAATAGCCCCTTACAAGATTTTGTGTTTTGTTTGAATCATTTTTATCACAGCATTTGTTCAAAAGTGTAGTTTACTAGATCTCATGATCACTCCCTGCGATGAAATAGCGCATTTTGTTCCTTAATATGAACTTCCCGGTAGCGGTCAACATTTTGTTGGCCAGTGTTAGCCAAATTCATACCAAGTCTGAGAAAACAGATATATTGGAGGGAGAAGAACAGACTATATGGATAATGAAACAGCCTCAAAATAAAAAACATTATCCACGGTGGCAAAAGGAGGTCTAACATCAGGGATTTTCTTTCTCGATTTCTTGGTCACAGCAAAAATTTGTATTTTAAAACACTTCAAATATCGCTAGGATATTACTGGCCCGCTTGTCCGGCTATGCTGCAGGCAGTAATAGGACATTTTGGGAATGTTTTCTGTTATTCGTCTGACTTGGCGGCGACGATCATCGAGCACATTAAAGTGCCACAGTTGCGACTCCTGTGTGCTTCCTCTGCGATCTGTATTATGCACAGACCTACATACACGGTACGCACCGGCCGTTTTTTTTGTGGATCAACCGGTTTGGTTCATGGCTCAGCCGGTCGGCACGGTTCTGGTCTGTCGGTTTAAAAGTCGTTTGAAAGGACCCTCAAGCGATGGAACATCTATGATTGGACGATCTGACATCAGTCGGTTGGTTCGTGAAACCACCCCCCCCCAAAAAAATAATAACAGTGGAAAACGTTACCGTCCTTTCTAAAATAGAGCAATTTTGTTTTACTGGCATTTCTTGCCTGCCTATTACAGTTAGAAGACAGATAAGTGATCTTGATTTGAAATTGAACGTAATTATACGGTTATTCACAATGTTCTCACACTGCTTATTTACTCTACCAAGAAAGTCCCTCTAAAGTCACGGGCTTGAATTTTTAACGTGTAATGACAGTCCACTGAAAATCGGCTACTGAGTATGCCAGGCTTAGTCAGCTTCTTCCAAAAGTGAACCGTAACTGAATGCAAGACCTCGGCACAACATGTAAGTGCAGCGTCCAATACTTTCAGTGATACTGTTTTGTGTCCTGGTGCTGAACTCAAGTTCAGAATATTCAAGTCAAAGTTCGAGTCTGATTCCTTATGAAACGGGACGCGAGGCTCGTCTGGTGTGCGAGATCGTTTCTCGAGTCCTCTGACGAGGATAATGTGGAACTCTGAGTTCGCATCGCTTCTCTTATGGAAGCAGGACTTTAAGACTTTTTTTGTTTTTGTTTTTTTTTCTAAAATGGTATTGACTGAACGAGGTGTATTTTTCCCTTTTTTTTCCGCCCAAAAGGCGAGAAGCCGTACCGATGCAACGTGTGCCACAGCGCCTACTCGCAGTTGGCCGGCCTGCGCGCTCACCAAAAGAGTGCCCGTCACCGCCCGCCGCCGGCGGGCGCTGTACCTCCCGTCAGTCAACAAGCCCAGCAGCCGCTGACGTTCCACCACCCCGACCACACCGCCTCCAAGATCCCGCAGAACTGAGGCAGAGAACCTGGTCCTCCAGAACTGTCGATCAACGAGGGAATCTCGCACGAACGCAAATATATTTGAAGAGACGACTGGAAACCTTTTATTCTCAAGATTTTTGTTTTCGAAATAGGGTTAGAGGAGCTGTCACGAGCCATTCTTCTGGGTAGGACTGCACGCCGAGCACACTGATATCCGTTCCCAATAATACGGGCGTTTCACAAAAGTGCGCATCCAAGAGTTGGTAACGAACTGGCCAATCATAATGCGCGAAATTTGCCTTCGCACATTGTGATTGGTCAACCCGTTGCAAACTCTTGGAGGCGCACTATTGTGAACCGCCCGTATTGTGAGCACCGACGTGTATGATAAAATCTGGACTCGCAGTGCCCTAAATCAGCTTATAGAGCTATTGAATCCATTCGCGGCCATTTTACCGAGCCAAATACAAAGCTCTCCTGGCAATGCCCGCCTTTGTTCTTCCTGACGTCAATAGAAGGGAGCCAACCCACGCTTTTGTTTTCGGCTCGGTAAAATGGCCGCTGGTTGGCTTCTTCTTCATACAAAGGCGTTGCAAGTCTAGGTTTTTTTTTTATATACGTCCGTGACTGTGAGGGAGCTAAGCTGAGGCTGCATCTGGATCACTTGGCTGCGCCTTAAATGAACTGATTCGTGTGTATTAAGTTTCTGGCCGCAGCATTTTAAGTAATTCGTATAGGGCAACTTTGCAGCTGGGAACGGGTTACAAGCAATATTCTATCGCACAACATTTTGGCTGGTGTACATTCCCAGTGCTAAGCAAAGTTGTGCAGTGAAAGAAACGGAATTTTTTTAAACGGTGAATTAGGGTATTCCGGGGCCGGTTGTAAAGTACTGGTCCTTTGAATTTCTAAAGCGAAATAATGCCTGGCGGGTAGTAGCCGGAAGAGGGAGGCCTTCGATGTGTGCATTCGCTCGTCGCTCAGCGCCCGAAAAGGGCGCTGGGGGGGGGGGCTGATGGCTTTGAACTGTGATTGGCTGCTTTGTGCACGGCCTCCCCCTCGAAGTTATCCTTTCCTGTTAGCGAAGCGTTATGTTTAATTTACTGTTAGCCAGTGGTAATACTTTGACGTGAGCCAAAGTGTCGGCTTATACCATAACAACATGGCCTTGGAAGAATCATAGTCTCATCAAGAATCACTGAGCTGATCACATGTCTTGTGGTGATACATTTCAAATCGTTGGTTATCTTGATCAGTTTGGGATGAACTAATAAAGTGTAGTGAGAAAGTTTCAGCAATGAGGAAGAAAAAAGAAAAAATATAGAATTGATAACCGCCACATTGAGCGAGCTCGCGCGTCTGGCAGTTATTTATGCACAATGCTCTGCGCGTGTTTAGCTGTGATCCCGCGTGACGTATTTCCTTCACTAAAATATGTGCAAGGTCATCAGCTCTTCCGAGCTCCCTGTTCAGGCCACTGCAGTCCTGTCCTTAATGTGGGACGTCGGGTGCCCTTTGCAAAAACAGTGTTTTCCTATTTAGCGACAAGCTTACAACGTACCTTGTTGTGCTTGTTGGTCCTCAAACCATCTTCCTGATTTTGTACTAATTTATTTTTGTAGCAATTTGTAAGCTGACAGTGAAAGTCTCAGCTTTTAATATTTAATTAATCTGTCAATTTAATATGGCTTCCTGTTAAAAATTACGTTATGGTGGAAATGTCTCCAATCATTTTCTTTGTAAAGAACGAACCACATTAGCCACGATGAGGTTTAAAAATGGATTCTGACTTTGGTATTGTGGATCTTCGGAGGTAAAGGAGATTTTCGAGCAAAAACATTGAGCGATGTCACAGTAACATGAAAAATGTGTAAATGGTTAATTTAGTTATTTATTCAAAAGGCTTAGTTATGAACAGGCGAAAATCTTCGGCTGAAATCGGGCGGCTTGTTCTCGTTTGTCCACGAACTGCTCGATTTGTTGTTCATGGGTCGGTCGCTCAAACGCCGGGAATGTACAATCGGTTATTAACGCTAGTGTTATTCGTGGCGTGGCAAGTAATATGGCAGCGTCTTTTGTGCATTCTTCGGGAGTTAATGTTGGATAACTGGGCTTACTTCTTTTCCATTTAAAAAACGTTCATTTCTGTCAAAACGTTCCATTGTCTTTGGCTTTGTAAAGCCATATCAGTACTTTTTGTGGCTGTTCAAAAATCAAATCTCACTGCTTTTTCCGTGTGTTCGTGTAAAATCCTGACGAGGAGGTGGTGTGTGATCCTGTTCCGAGAACAGTGTTCTCCAGTCTTGTTCCCGCCGTTCGAGCGCGAGAACACGAAACCCGTGTCAAGAACGGACCGCCCGAACTCGACCTGAAGTGTCAAAATGTTCGCGTAGATGACAAGCTACTGCAGTTTATTTAACGGAAACTGGCATTTATTTTTGCTTGTTGCTTTCATTACTTGAATCGCGTTAATACGATTTGACCTTAAAGTTTAATTAAATTCGTTTGAATTTGTAATTTCTATATTTTATTAACACCCATAAATACATTATTTACAGTTCTGAACATTCCATGAATTTTGTGCTTATATTTAAGATTAATCTTACTGTACTATGAGCAATGAACACAAATTACATAACATGACCCATGTCTCCAATATAGTTCGTTCTTGTTTCACCCCATTTGTCACCGTAATAAGCCTTTTTAGAGTTAATTTGAATAAAATCTGGTACACGGTGCTACCTTATTGCACATACACATAACAATTTGAATTCCGTGGACTAAAGACAGTATAGACCTCATGATTCGTGGCAAGCTTTTGTATAGGGACCACTATCTCTGGAATGGAATGGTTCCTTTGTGCCCTTCTTATTCATTGAAAACTGTGTATTGGTGCCAGGCGTCTCTTATGTAAGGCCGTGTCCGAATCACTTGGCTACGGCCAGAATTTACACACGACTTAGTGCGAACTGGCCGCGGCCACTCTCATTATACTCGTACGTGATTTCCAGCCGTAGCCAAGTGATGCAGGCACTTAACATTTAAGTAAGCGAGTAAAAGATTTAACGTAGCAACAGTGTCTTTAGTATGGATGATTCAACTTGTTATGTTCACGTGCATTTAAAGAACTCAGTGTACCAGATTTTGTTCAAATGTTACTCGCAAAAGGCATGGATTGTCTCTAGCGGGATGGCTTGACGCCACTAATGCAGAGGGCGCTGTTCACGATACGGTGTACAAACTTGTACGTTTGTACGAGGTAAAGTTACTTTTCTTTCTCTGTTTTGGTGGTTGGAAAGTTTGAAAAACAACATCAAAATATACATATTTTTGTTTTTCAACACAAACGAGCGGAGGGTGATCATCTGATCCACTCCTCCGGCAAAACTTTGGATTCATAATTTACGCATTAGCCCCGCACATAGGGCTGTAGTGGCTCTCTTTTACAACCTGTCTCTTATCCGGTGGCGACTAATTTAAGCATATGCTTGAATGTGTCAGCGAATATAGTAACAAACTTGTAAAATATGAAAAGAAATTAAAACCAAGAAATCAACTCCGAAAGTGTTGTGGAGACTTCCGTCCGTCGAAGTATTTTTGTGTGTTACAATTATTGAATCCTGAGAACGGCCGTCAGCCGGGCGTTGAATTGAAACCACGACTTTCGTTTTCTGTATACATGTACATGTACCGTCTCTGCAGGAAGCGCAAGCATGCTCAGTTTGCTCTGCAGTGGGCAGTACGCGTGCCAACTGGCCTGCGGGCTGCCGACTAGCTGTGGGTTGTGCGTTTATTTATTTGTTGATTATAATTTTGGAGAGGCCTCTATCCCTCGCTGTGTCAATGAGCCCCCAAATGGGCCTTATTTCATCTGTAGTAACGTTTACCATTGCGCGCTAGTAAGGTGGCAGCTAGCTGTACAGAAATGCTAACTTCAGATTTTGAAACTAAGATGTGTGCAAATACAGCATGCAACTTTTGTGTGCCAGTTGTCCATGTGCAATGACGCATAATCCAATATATTTGCCCCCCCCAAAAAAATTGAAACATTCATGTCACAGTTCTCTCTATAAACTATTAATTAGCTCTGGTCGTTCGCCGTAATGCCGTCCTCTCGCATGGTTGGCTACGTGAAATAGCGACGGCTTGAACCAAGACCAATTATTTCCCACGTTTTCCATGTTCTCACTCATGGGCATAAGTGGGGGTAGTATATATCTCTCCACTTTTTGACAAGGGGGTGGGCTATTGAACCTCCCCCCTTTCGTTGTTAGAAAAAAAAAGAAGATTGTAAAGAATTTGACGGACTGATCAACAACCAAAATGTATCCAAGGTACTCAAAATAGTGATTCAAGATTCTGCATATTGAACATCGCCCCTGCATTGTCATAAGGTATTAGCCCTTCTCCCGCTTTTCAAATTTTCGTGGCCGAGCAAGTCCCCCCTCCCCCGCTATTCCCCAACTTCCAATCGGGCATGAATAAAAGAGGTGGTTGTGGAGGGAGGGGGACTTGAAACCTGAAATTTGCTCGCTAAAAATGTGTTTGAGAAAGTCATGCTTCTGGTCTACACTCAAAAGTCGAAAGCAACAGAGAAATTCGGTTTTATGACAGCACTATGCATGATTAGAAACAAATTTTATGTCATGGAATTTAGTGCTTCCGAATGCCTTTGGCCTTATCCGGGGCTTCCTTAAAGTGTATAGCTGCATTGAATTTCTTCGACACAATTTTTCTGCTTCGCAATACATGAAAACTCTTACACACTCCTTTTTGGTTAAATGCATTGTCAATCAAAATTATCCATGTTTTCCTGTACAACTAAGGGCGCTAGTGCTGGGAAGTTGTCTACGGAAGACATAGTTAAGTGCATTACTATCTGAAAAAATTCTGAGAGAGGGATTGATGGTTTCTTACTGCTATGCTCATAAACAAGAATGAAGAAGAGAAAACTTAGTCAAGGAAAATCTACAAAAATGCTGGACTTTTTTGTGTAAAAACTAATGTAACTTCCTGATGATATGACGTGCAGTTTTGCTCATGAATATGGAAATGTAATTTTTTAAAAACCAAAAGGTATTAAAATACCGTTTGAAATAATGAGAAACCAAAGTTGAAAATAAGGTTAACTTAGGCACAAAGGTGCATTTTACAGGTTTGTAATCAAAAAGGAAGATTGATTGCTGCTACGTACCTTGATGCGCACGCGCAGCTAGTCGGCGCACCAGCACTGAGCTGAGCAGCCCGGCCATCCGGCCGGCGCGCCCTGTGCGAACCACTAGCCGCGGCCACTACCGGGGTAGGGTACAGTCCACTAATTCAAGCCCCATTTAAAAACAGTGTAAAATCAGGGGGGGCCGTAGCCAAGGATTCGGACGTGCAACGGGGTGATCAACCTCGACTCCAGGCTGCGTGGCAGTGCCAAGTTCGTACCTATGGAAACGAGGTTGCGGGGCACACAGTTCAGAACACTATCTTTTTATATATTATATTTTGTCTGAATTTCATCCGTGTTTGTTTCACACGAATCTGGATCACGATTAGTGACCCATTGTTGATCCACTGATTGAGATCCAGATCCGTGTAAAATTCACCTTCTTGCCCGTAAAAACGCCTTCATTCGGTTAAGTGTTACAGATCACTTATTTACAGTATATATACAATAATATCGCCTATCAATATATAACCGGTCGGTTAGCTCAGTCGGCAGAGCATCGTGCTAATAACGCGAGGGTCGTGGGTTCGAGCCCCACACTGACCAGAGTTTTTTTCCGCTCCCTTAATCTGGTCACCAACTCTCCAAAAGCTTATTTTTACATGACATTTTATTATACTTTTCCTTGTTAACTTCTTTTCTTGGATTCACTGCCCACGTTTATTCATGAAGTTGAAGGGCTTCTACGTGAACTGGGTTGATCGCTTGAATAGAACAGGAAAATAATTAACAGGTTTAATATATTGTGCCTTCATGGTGCCATTTATTTTGGGGAATACCATTGATCTCAGTGGCATTTCCAGCTTTTCACAAAAAGGCAAAAATAAGAGCCAGCTCAAACCGACGAGCTGAAAATTCGAGAATCAATGTATTGAGCTACATGTATTCAACTTTTAGTAGACTCGGGGAAAAACACATTTCTGTATTTCAAAGTAATTTTGTCGTGGAGGACTAAGAGGACATATTCCTCTCTGAGTTTACAAATTCCTTCCTTGATGAGTTTCTCAATAACGGATATCTCTTCTTTGATAAGGTCTCTGCATTTCCGGCGACACATTCACGCTCCTAGCTGGGGGCGCTGTAAAAAAAAATGGTCTGGCGATGTGCACGTCGCACGTGACGTGTAGTGCTAACAATAACCTGATGCGTGTAACATAACATGGCTCGATATATTCAGGGAGGACTGTGCTTATCACAGCGCGCACAGACGACTTTTACTCGCCCCGGACGACATTGTTTCGCCTCTCTACCGTCCATTCTTCCAGTCCCTTCCTTCGCCACTAACCTCCCAGTACTGTTTTGTGCCAGAAGTTTGAGAAGCACGTCAAGCTCAGCCATGGCAGACTACATCGCGATCAAAAAGAGGCGAACGGAAATCCAGGAGTCGGGACCTTTCGCCGAGAACGACTTCAAGTGCAGGGGGTTGTTCAGCGGGCTGAACCAGCAGCTAACCATCGGCGGCCCGGGGCCTGATCGGCTGCGGCGGGTGGCAGAGTTGCTGTCCAAGGCCGCTCATAAGAGAATGGTAATCCATTTCAGAAAGAGTTTCATGTACGAAAACACTTGATGCCCCGTTCACAAACTTATATGAGACTTGTCTGAAAAGTGTTTTCTAAGTCATGTAAGTAATGTAAGTTGGACTAGGCTAGATGCCACCCCCTGGCCGCAGAACTGTGGGGACCGACTTCCGCCCCGGGAGTGGGCGGTCGTCGGACGCCGTAGCTTGGGGGGTACTTAAATGCTTGAGAAATTTGCTATCTAAATTACACATTTTAGGATGTGTTATCACTTCATGATGGCTGTTAATATAACATTTTAAGGGAAAATTAGTGTTGTCCATGTATGGAGCTCTTTCATTACAGCATTGTTGAACATAAAAAAAAAATGGGGCAGTGCACTGAGCGCAGACATCTGGGAGTTTCACAAAAAAATGGGAGCAACCACTCCGCGCTGGTGAAAAAAACTGCAATTAGCACATGCATACATACTGATCAAAGAAAAGATTTTGTAACCCAATCCTCTGACTGGATGGTACATGCATATGTTGCCATGATCGCTGTTTTCATCAGAGCGGTACCTGCCAATTGTGAGAGTCCTGGATGTCCACCCTGCCCCGTAAACTTGTTTAGGGGAACGGAACTCCATTGCATTTCTTCATAGGCCTAGTAACAGTAGTATGATGTAGCACTAAGGGTTATTTTGCCCCTTTGTGATATGTTTAAAAGCCATTAATAACGTCATGCCAACTGCAAGAATTTCAGAATACCCTGCCACTCGAAAATCACCCTCTGCCAAGTCTAAAATTTAGAAATGAATGGCTGCACATTTGAAGGAGCGAGGCCCTACATCTTTGCATGCATTGTCTACTGTCAAAGGATGTCAAAATGAGACGTCTTAAGACTACTTCAAAGTAGCGGCCTAGCCCCTGGAAATAATTTGGCATTTTGCCTCCACTTGTTTCATTATTTATCATCTCAATAAAGGTCAGTCATTGCAGAAATGTTGAAAACAACATGAATATGACACTAGGAAAAATTTCTAATTTCTGTCAGGAAATACTTCAAAATTTTCTTGACTTCCGTTGAGCATGACCACTGAAGTGGAATCAGGATGGAACATTCTTTCCAAGCTCTTCGGGAGTGGAGATGCTGCAGATATGGCTGGGGATATATAGTGGGATGGAATCAGGGAGGGAAGTAAGAAGTCGCTGTTTTGCCTTTAAACAAATCCTCAAACTTAATCTAAGTGTAAAATTGAACGGAAAAAATTGAAAAACAAGTCTAAATCCAAAGTGACCCCCGGCACGGTAAATATGATGATGAATAGTAAGATAGACCAGTGCACACACACGTCCAAGTGTGTATTTGCCTGCAACTGGGGACCCCCTATTGTTCCTCTTTTGTTTGTACTCTACCTTTTCTAGAAGACCACCCATATGTTTGTACACAGTTGTCAATCGGGGACCTTATTTTCCTCAAATGTTCAGGGTCCCCAATTGAATGCAGAAACAAACTCACACACACACAGAGCACTATTATGTGCCAGCTGTCAAGTGTGAGTCTGTGTCTGTGTAGTTAGCTACAACGGGGTAGACGGGTGGTAGGATATTCTGCTATTGTGCCGATGAGCCCTGTAGGGCACGGCAGGGGTGCAACTTGGAGTGAAACTTTGGCAAGGGGGTACCTACTGGGTGCACACCTTAAATTCAAGAGGAAAATGAAAGCAAATGAACTGCCGGTTTGATTTTTTTTTCCATTTTGAATGTGGGAAGCACCTGGTGCCAGAGACATCCAGGCTCATGCCCCCCACTCCACAGTTACATCATAAAGAGTAGGGTAATTTTTACCGTGGGGACACCTCTCATGTTGTAATACGAGAGAACTCAACTGTCCCCAACTGTCCAAAACGGCAATAATTTTACATATTCTATGTCCTCTGCAAACTGATAAAAGAAAATTTCCAGTGTCCGGAACAAAGACTACTCAGTCTGCAAAGGACTGGTAAAGTTGGACCAATAAACAGGCTTTGTATTAGTAAACAATAATTGAAGAACCAAACAACTTGAAATGTCCTGAGGGTGAGGACTGCCCATCTGAGAAAGATGGATAGCAGAGGTAGTTTCTATTTATGCAGTATTTGCCCCCTCTTCCTTTAGGCGGAAGAAGCACTCGGAGACGGAGATCTCTTGCAGTATGGCAACACTGGGGGAGATCCACTGTGCCGTTTGGAGCTGGCCAAGTTCTTGAGCAAGGGTTATGGCAGTCCTGTCGATGTGTGAGTGGCCGACTTGCCTAATTTTGTTTCCGGAAAACGGAAAACGACAACCTATAAGTTTGGGCCCAGTAAAGAATTGTATCGTTTCTAATCTGGGTGTTCAAAAATGGAGGAGGCAACATTTAAGAACTTTTTTTATTAATCTCATTTGTTATCACATCATATCACAGTTTGTCATTTTGTACGTGTATACTTGGGTATCACATCTTTTTCAAAATGGAGATCGATCTCCTGGTCTCTTTTTCTAATGTTTTTGTGTATAAAGAAGCTTTTACCCCAGTGCTAGGTTTTGAACTTGCATTTAAAGCTGCGTAAGCTGACCCGAAAACCAAAAAGTGAAATTACTTCGTGAAAAGAAGAAAATATGCCTATTGTCGGTTGAATATGTCACAATTTTTTCAAGGACTTGAAAGTCTTATTAATGCGTACAGCTGGTGCCCTTTAAAGTGTTGTTTAATTCACTTGAAGTTGAAGCAAATGCCACCTGACCTCCCCTGTTGTTGTTACTTATAACCAGTTAACTCTTAGCTGCCTGTTGAATTAGTATAAAGCCCCCCCCCCAAAAAAAAGAAATTCCTGCTTACCTACACTGTGTTCAAAGGCAAACAAACTAATTTTTTTGAGGGGGGATGGCAGAAATCTGTCTGAGTCGCTTGGATCTTAGAAATAAACTCCACAGAATTTCACGTAAAATGAAACATGTTCCCATTCATGCTACTGTCCCACAGATACCTGTCAATTTTGAAGAATCCTGAATGGTGGTGGAGAATTTTCTGGCTGCATGTTAACATCACACTGTAGAAGCAGTTGTCAAGAGAGAGGCTCCAGCCATTCCACCCTTTGATTCCCCATAATTCCATGAGCCTTCCTTCTTTCCTTTCCCTGAGGATTACTGGACTCCTGCAAGAATTCTTGAGTGCATTTTAACTTGTCTATGTCTTTGCTGGCTCTTTGACCTCCAGTCAGGACCTCATGTTGAGCGGGGGAGCGACACAGGCCATGGCTTTCCTCCTGACGTTCTTCTTCAATGCTGGGGACACCGTCTTTGTGGAGGACCCCACGTACTTCATCAACTTGAATGCGTTCAAGGATTACGGCATCAAGAGCGTAGCCGGTGAGTGGGACAACGCTTATGCAGATGTGATCCCTCTTTGATGATGTCATCAACCCTCAGTAGATGCTAGCTCAGTTGAGACAAGTTCAGTTACAACCGAATTGTAATCGTGACAAGCATCTTTCATCGGTCACTCTCAAATTTTCCTCATTTCATTGGCAGAAATGTGTTTGTTCAAGAGAAGTCGATTAAAATAAGCATCTCTCCTGACCCAGTTGCCTGCAGAAACATTTTTATTGATCTTGTTACAGTGAAAACACTCAATCTCAATCACCCCCATACATGGGCGTTGCCAGTTTTTTCAAAGGGGGGGAGGGCAAAGCACTCAAGAGCAGCAAATTGATTAACCGTGAACAGTAGAATGTAGTCAAGTCCGAGGTTATTTCAAACGAATTGGTGATTTTTGCCTTTGTGTTGCACCTTGTCGTGCTTAAGCAAGCAAGTGTTGCTTGAGAAATGTGCGAAGGCCCCAATCCGGCTGCTTGTAGGCCAAGTCTTGTTGCACATGGCATCCATGGTCAAGTTGGTGCGGGTCAAAATCTCATGCCACACATCTCAGTGTGAAGAACAGGGAAAACTTGAAGAAGTGTGCACCTGCAAAGCCTTGGACCAGATTTCACAGGAGACCAAATTCCATATCACACTGTCCTCTATACCATGCTATCTCCCCTCCACTAGAGGGTTTCAGAGGTAGGGGGCTCTAACCTGGGAAAGCACTACCTTTTAGATTTTTCATTGGTTTGCACTGTTTATCTTGTGTCAACAAGCTCAACCCTAACCATGCTGAACCCAACAAGGTTACGCAGCATTTCAATGGTCCCTAGGGGGTTAGGGTTAAAGGTTAGTGGTTTAATCCTTTGCTGATTTTAGTTCTTATCTTTCTGAGTAAATTATAACCAGTGATCATCTTCAAGAAATAAGAGTTGGAATTGTAATGAAACTACTTAGATCGGGTTTTGTGTTTCATGTTCCCATTCTGCAAACTTTGAATCATGAAAAAAGACCGTAGCAAAGTCAAGAAAGCTCTCTACAATTTTATGTTTCAGTGCTCAAAAGCAGCAACGGGGAACCTCCAGTTTTTTTATTACGGATTGCCAGTGTGAGGAGCTTCAAACGATATCAAGCTGGGGAATGTGTTGAAATGTTAAAAAGAAAAGGCACTGGAAATCTGCAGCGCGTTCCCACTTGAATTTGGAAAAGGTGGAGCTTGATCCGGCATTGTGGTGTGATTGTTATCTTACTGCAACGAAACCGCAAGTCACGTTCCCACTTACGCTCGATCCACCTTGTCATGTCAAGCCGAAAGGTCACTGAGTTTGGCATTGCGCATGCGCTAGCTTGCTGAGCGTGCGCTCTGTGGCAGTGTTGCGTGCTGGGGCGGCATGCGTGTGACCCTTGCAGTGTTTTGGGTGCGGAGTTCTACTGACGTGACGACCTTGAATCAGACCGAATGTTCAGCCAAGTACGTTGTCTCTTCAAACTTTGTTTCCGTTTTCGATACTCTGACCAGATGAAAAAGGAAAAAAATGAAAAGCTGCCCCCCATTACTGCCATACTTGCGCTTTGTTGTAGCGTATTTTAGAAATCCAGTAATTATCATCAAAATTGATTTTCCCTTTTAATTATGACCATTCTGTCAGTAAGCCCCTTCATTCCATTTCTCATTTAAACCAATATATTTGCGTATTTGGTACATCGCATGGAAGTACGTGTACATGCAGTAGTGCGGTCAAGTGCAATAACAAATTCTGCAAGGCAGTCATCCTTCATGTCGGTGCCTTTGTTATGAAGGAATTTGCACAAAAGGTCAGCCCATGGGTTTCCTTCCTCTGTTGTGCCAAAGCACTGACCTGACATGAGAGATGGCTGCTATGCACAACCTCTGTGCCTACCCCCGACCACAATGTGCATGCCACTCCCTGGGAAAAAGTCTGACAGAGAGGGTTTACAGAAAGTAGGTCCTTTGTCAGTTTCAAACATGTTAAGTCGAAACTTTTTTACCACACTTTAATTCCCATCCATGCCTTTTAGGTAAAAAAGTTTTAAAAAAGAAACTTTCCAGCAATTTTTGGGGCGACTGATTTGTGCTGTGTTGTTGTCTGCATTCTCTGGAGCAAAAGTGACAATGCAAGTTGTGACAATGGAAACAGTTTCAGTGACAAGACATGAAACTTTATGCAAGTCAACCGTAACACTAAGCTAATCAAATATTGCTCCCTCCAGTTCCCCTAGAAAAAGATGGCATCAACACGGAAGCCCTGGAGGCCAAATTCAAGGAATTTGCAGCCAACGACCAGCAGGAGATAACTGCGACTCGGCCGTTTCGTGCCATGTTCTACGCCATCACTGTCTTCCACAATCCCACCACCATATGCTACTCACCAGGTGATCCAATTATCCTCCAGCCATAGGAAGGGTCTATGCAGTATAAATTTCAACATGGAATCCTTGAAAATCTGCCATTGTTTTCCATGCAGTCCTATTTCCTATTTTTGTGTTGTCGTTTTTAGGGATATTTTAAAGATTTTTGGTTTTAAATGATTTGCAAATTTGCACGTTCATGACCCAGATTATGATGTCAGCCCAGGAAGAAGAAAAACCCCAAATTTTTGCTGTCGTCCAGTTTCTTTTCTTTGGCAACTTGTTTCAGTTTATGACACTTGGCCTGTTCTCTTCAAACAAATTTCCATTGAGCAAATTTTTGGTTTGAAATTTGAGCAGGAAACCCCATGTTTTTTCAGTAACACTACCCTCATTTGTCTTGAAATTTGGAATATTTAACGGAGTGCAGTTTCCTGTACAGTTGGCCAAAACGACATGTCAAAATGCAAGTACTGCAACATGTGTTGACATTTAAAATGCCAAGCACTTGTTCTGAATGTCAATTTGTGACATGCATCTTGGATAAAAATACTTTTACAATTTTTTTTTCACACAAAAGGTCACTAGATTTATTTCGCATTCTCCATTTGCATAACTTGTCTAGTCTCTGCATTTCTTCAACATTTTTGTTAGTTTCTTTTTCATTTCATTTTCGTGCTTTCCTGACGTCATTTGTTGGATGTAAGAAAGATGTAAGATAAAAAAGTTGCAAAGTTGGCAAGGCAAGTTCTGTTGATGATAACAGTTCAAGAGAACCATGGTGAAAAAATTAATGTCGGTGGGTGACTTTTTAATCTTTGGGAAAATACAGCCCTTGCCGCTTGGTGAGCTGTTTACTTAAATCTAAAAATAGTGAAGCTGTTGGATCAAATAGCAGCGCCACTTTAAAAACTTGCTTGGTTTCCTATAAATAAACAGAGAAATGTCGGCGTGTCGTTGAGCTTGCCAGGAAGTACGACATCCTGGTCGTTTGCGACGACGTCTACAATGTACTCTCCTGGATGCACAGCGGCAACAACGAGATTGGCCTGGCCCCTCCCCGCCTTGTCTCCTACGACAGGAAAGAGGACTCTGACTACAAGGGCAATGTCATCTCCTGCGGCTCTTTCTCCAAGTTCACAGGGCCTGGCCTGCGCCTGGGCTGGTTCGAGACAGCCCCACACCTCTTGGACATGATGAGAAAATGGTGAGTCCATCCTTACTCGCTTTGACCGGTGAGTTAATCCTCATGACAGGGAGGAGTTTAGTTAACCCTCATTCCAGGATGTGGTGAGTTAACCCTATCTCTTTGGAAGACGTGAGTTAACCCTCACTCTAGGATGTAGTGAGTTTACCCTATCTTGTAGGAAGAGGCGAGTTAATCCTCCTTCCTGGGTGTGGTGAGTTAATGTATGTCCTAGGAAGAGGTGAGTTCATCCTTGTTCCAGGATGTGGTGAGTTAATTGTACCTTCTAGGAAGAGGTGACTTAATCCGGACTCCAGGATGTGGTGAGTTTACCCTATCTTCTAGGAGGAGGTGAGTTAACCCTCACTCCGGGATATGGTGAGTTTACCCTATCTTCTAGGAAGAGTTAATCCTTTCTTCAGGAAGTGGTGAGAAACTTTCCAACATGTTACTGCCTAAATCTTTGCATAACTTACACAAACGGCTTTTGGATATTTGAGGGGGTATGTTTAATGAATGAAAGATAAGTGATTTGTCGTTCTTTGGAAGTTGGGGCACACTCTGCCTGTGCTCTATAGAAGATGCTCCGCCTACTTTTGACAGTATTTTTGGGATATATTGTGTGCACACACTTCTTGGCTCATGTCTAAACTAAGCTTCCAAGGCTGTTATGTCTGTTGTCTGCATGTGTCCATGTATTTTCTGCTGGTGAAAACCTAGACCCAGCTTTAGCCACAAGTTTCGGAGGCAGTCTCAGAGTTAACATGACACAAACTTACACTTGTGCTTACTTGCAGGAACCTGTCGAGAGGACCGCATCTAAATTGCATAGGTGTTATGGAGTGAAACAGAATTGACGATATTTTGGGTTCACTCCAAATAAGCTGCGTCAGATACAGAAACATTGTTGGACTTGACTTTGTCTTGCGTTTGTCGATCCACAGTGCCTACATGGTGAGCGGAGGGAACTTCAACACTTTCACGTCGGGCCTGATGGGCTCTGCTTTGGAGATGGGACTGATTGAGAATCATGTGGCCAACTTGCGAAAGACCTACTCGGTGAGTTTTGAAAGTTCTAGAAGCACTGTCCGTTAGCTGGTGACAAGTTAAATAAGTCTGATGATAAGCTGTTGTATCTGGCAAGGCTGGAGAAAATCTTCAAGAAAATGTTGTTTGCGTGAAATTCTTCATTTTTTGCAGACAGTGTTGAAACCATTTGATAAACACAAAGATAGTAGGGCATGAAAGGTTACCGGACAAAATGCTATACCACATTGCTTGTGACTGGCTCATGGCTTATTTTTCTTAGCCAGAAAAAAACACTGCTGAGTAAAATTTCTCTCTTCAAAGCAAGTCCAGGAATTATTTCCTCCGAAAGGAATCAAACCATATTCCTCTTTGGTCTCACACTAATTATAAAGATGAACACAGAGATTGACTGGAGCGGGATTTGAACCCGCAACTGCCAGAACACCGTACCAGTGCTCTACCGACTGAGCTACCCAGCCCTGTGTTGCCAGTTCTTATGGGTCAATATGGTTTGATGATTTTTGTTTTCGCGCACCACAGGCATCTGCTCGAGCTTTATGGAAGACGCTACAGGCAGAGCTGCCAGAGGGAAGCCGTGTGGCAGAACCCATGGTGAGTACATGAATAGTCAGTGGTTATGAGTGCAGTGTTGAGAATAATCTTGTGAGGTGACTCTTCTGATGCTGTGTTCCATGAGGAGAAACCCGGCAGAATGGAACATACAATCTGCCACAAATTGGAATGATTCTATCCAAGGCACAATTCTGGATCATTCTTTTTTTTTTTTGCCTGAATGGATCCGCTTTGCATACAAGTCACCAATTCACAATCAGTTCGTTGTAAAAGCACAGCATGAAGTTTTCACGTTCCAAGCCACGACTGTATCTCCCTCGCACATGAGTGATACGGCGTTCTTTGCCTGCATGAAGAGTCCACGACACACCCGTAATTCAAGAAATTATTTGACAGGCTATATTTAATAGTCACGCCATTGTTAATGCCAAATAAATCAGTGACGCATGACCGATGATCCGGCCAATCGGATGACGGCAGTTTATTCAGATGTTTTTATAGAGCCTCGTGTACCATTAATCTGTGGAAATGGGTTTTCAGTACGGCCCCCTAACAGGCCACAACAGTGGTATGAAATGAGTCAAATCGGCAACTAGAACATTTCTTTTGTGAAAAGTCTTTTGAGAACTAAAATGCGAGTGTGGCCCTGCTTGTGTGTCAGTGTTCCTCTCCGTGACTGTCAATTGTCCCCATCCTCCATTTGTTACCTCACCCCAGGGCGGTTACTTCATTTGGGTGGAGCTTCCTGAGGGGGCAAAAGCTGCCGAGATCCTCAAGATCGCCAAGGAAGACTACAAGGTTGCCTTCCTGCCTGGCAATTTGTAAGTCTTTCCAGTGTAGGGTTTTTTTTGGTTTTGTTTCCTTTTTTTTTAATCAACCTGTCGGAAGCCCACGTTGCCACATTCTCAACGATGAGCATCCACAAAGTTTACGCACCCAAAGGTGAACTGGGGCCTGTCGAAAACTTGTCGGCTAGAGACATCGTTTTGGGTCATGGGGTCGACTTTGAGCAGTTGATTTTAAAAGCCATTGTTGTCTTTCTCCCTTGCATGAATTTTAACAGGTGAGAAATTCCCAAACTGGTTCTCCCCTAAAACAACAATGTGTCCCCGCCCCCCTACCAAAGAGGGATCCTGACACCCTGTCTCTGTGGGAATCCCTCAGTCGCTGCCAAGGCTACAAAACAAATCACCCATGGCATCATTTGAAACGCAGACTCTAGGAAATGCAGACCCATTGATCTCACTGAACTTTAGTTGGTGTCCACAGTACTGACAACTGAACGTAGACATTGGAATCAGTAGTCGGCACAAGAAGACAGGATTTATGGGAAGTCCTAAATGTCACATGACATTTTTACGAACCAGTGAGCCAGCTTTGTACATGTATTCCAAAAAGGCAAGGTTATTCATGAACAAAGCATCAGATCTCACGCCACTTAGCACATTTTCATAGCATGTATTAACCCTTTCGCACCGGGAGGCGGCTGTAGCCGCTGTAAAAATTGAGATCCTCAGCCCGCTTTTCAGCTATTATTCTCGGCCCACGCTCGAGCGAACACGGTGAAAGAAGGCAGACCCTGGCTCTTGTATATATGGTGATTGGCCTTTGTGCGTAGCCCAGAAATGAAAAGACCGATTTTGCATCATAATCACCAGCTTTACAATAGTCCCCACTTTGAAAAGAGGCAAGGGGAATGTGGAAGGGTGAGTAGAGCCGCATGCCACCAAACAATCGGCCTTTTCACCGTGTAATTCAAAGCGTGCAGAGCACGCAGGGCCACAAACCGAGAATTTGCGGTTTGGCAGGTGGCCTTCATGGCCAAGCAAGGCTGGAATTCTTGGAGTAGGCTTTCGGGAAGAAATTTCCATCGTCAAGGGGTTAAGTTGGCATTCAGCCACACTGATGCTTTGAAATGACCTTCAATATGCCTCATTGTGAGCGTGCACTGTCTGAGTATCGAATCTTACTTGTTAGAAAATGAAAATTAACGTGCAGTCAAATGTCTTTTCTTGATTGTCTCTGTTTGTCCTTGCAGAGCCTCGCCCTGTGGCAACTTTAGCAACTGTTTGCGAATTTCCTTCAGTTACTATGGAGACGACGACCTGCAGACTGCAGCCAAGGGTATCGCTGCGGCAACCAGGAAGCATCTGGGAAAGTAATCAGCTTTTCATTGTAAGCCTGTTTGGCAAAAACAAATGCTATTTTTTATTAGAAACCATGTTAATGGGGGAGCGATTTGGGAAAGTCCATTTGACTTGGAAAATTTTAATAATCACTATACCTCTTTTCTTTTCCTGCAAAAACTTCAGGTAAATGTTTGTGATTGGAGACTTGTTTGGCAAGCAGAAAGATCAAGTAGGGTTCAAAGTTCACAATACAGTGCAACGCCGCTGTAATAAAATTGAGGGGGTCCACACAGCATGGTCGGCAAAGCATTGGTTCACAATTGCAATTTTCAGATGCACCTGGTGCTATCCCGTTCACATATTTGGCAGCCTGCCTTGCGACATTTTCTGGCTGAGAATGTTGGGCGACACTTCCAACACACACCAAAATTTCAACTAAAAATAAATGATCATTTCCCACCTGTTGGGTAGCTCTCTATCGGAGTCAAATCACCCACTGAGATAAAGGTGTCCATGATTTTCTTGTGCGTCTTTGCTTAAAAATCGCATGCAACATGCAGTATGGTTGAACAGATAGACAGGCCAGGAAATATTCTACAGCACGGAAGTCGCAAAAAAAGTACATGATGGCCATCGGCAACATCATGAATCTGCAAGCATTGTTGATCATGATTGGAACTAGCAATATATTTAAGGAAAATTTCTGCAAGTCGCAGAACTATGTGCTTGGGTATATTCTGTTTTGATGGCCTTTTTTCTATCTAAAGATCCTTGCCTCTATTGTGATAATAAGAAGCAAGATTTTCTATGTCAGAGTTACACATGTTGCATATGCATGTACTCTGTGGCCGAACAACATGGCTGCCCATGCAGACATGCATGATTCGTACCCACAAACTAGTCTAGACGGACTGCACTGCCTCAGTGTTGACCATTGTTCCTTTGCGAGTAGGATTTTCTCAGGTCATAATAATCAGAACTAACAATATTTCTTTTATATTTAAGCAAATTTTCATTGTTCATTAAAAGTGCTTGGTAAATTCGGGTGGCTGAGGGTAAGATTTGAATTCCTGATTATTTGGTGT